GCATGGGTACTCGCGGGCAGGTGACCATGGAGTACGCTGATCACTGTGTTGGATTAACGAGACTGATTAAGCAGTGATTTCGGTAATTCGTTGCAAATTAGGTGTGTCGGAGTCGGAGTGCGAGACCGTCGGATTAACGGGTCTAAATAGCACTGATTTAATTGGTTCCCATCATTAGTGTCGGATAAAGCCGATTGTCGGATTAACGAGTGTCGGATTAACGAGACTTGACTGTATGTGTGTTATCTTGACTTAGGAGTTTATTTCTAGGCTGTTGGAAAATCTTTCAGGTCATACATACGCAGGAACGCCTTTTCGCGATTCATAAACACATGCTTATTATATAGTCTGAATCGTTCAATACAGAAATGTATTAACAGATCCTATGCCAAGGAGATGAATGCACTAGTTATTACCTTTCTGTCACTGACACTGGTGTAATGGGCGGCGTACACGATCGGTCATTATCGGATCAGTTGATGTCGTATAAGGCTACTGTATTGTTTTGCCTGACACTGAGTACAGTGTTAATGGCTTTTTTTTCTCACAACTATATCGTTCATGGATATGTTATATATATTCAAATTTAAGTTACCGTAATAGAGGAGACATGGTGTACCTTAGACCATGCACGACTCTATACATTACAGTGTTCCAGGGCAGAGATTGGGTATCAAACCAACTTTAGAGGAAGATTCATTCGGAAGATTAGTTATTAGTAAAACATACATGGTAATTATAATGGCATACGTTGACGATGACTGTGAGGTCTAGGAGGTGACATTGCGTTTCACTGATGGAAATGTCAACCATCACATGTCACCATCCTGTATGTCGAATGTAGACGATATTGCATATTTAATGATGAGGTCCAACAAAAATGTGCTTGTTATGCACTGGCATAAGAATTTTGCTGTCAGGACCCCGAAAGTTAATCGTTTGGTCAAGATATAGTCGAACCTCATTGTGTCTGGAAGAAAGCTCGGGTTATCCGAGGTTTGAGACATCAGGGGAATGTTGTGCTTAATTTGGATACATGGGAGTCCCAAATGAGTTCGAAACAGCCGGGTATTCGACACATCCAGGTTCGACACTACGAATTTCGACTATATATAATTTTTAAATAGATCGTACATATGCTGTCGAGGTTATGATTACACAATGTGATGGTATATTCAATGATATCAATTCAATGTATCTTAATCAACTGCATTTCTTGCAACACTTTCGCGTCCGTTAGGCACAAGACACTCTTGCCATGTGAATGAATTCAAAATAGTATATAACTAGTGTGTCAAAACAAAAACCAAGAAGGGCCGATAACTTTTGTTTGGTTGTACAACCACTGATGAAACCTTACTTGTCCTTTCAACATTATTTACTTAACCGAATAATATTGCATCGTGCATGCTAAAAAAAAGAACCTGTTGACATATTTTTAAACAAGCTAAAATAACTTGAACTTAAAACAAATATCAGAATTGAAACCAAAAATAACTTCTTGAACCCCTGACCTGACCATTTGATGATAGGGAATTAATAATTAACTGGAGACTACTTATAACATTATCCTGAGCTGTATGAAAATATCTGCATAAGAAATAGATTTAGAAAATGCAAAGGAACCAACTTCAATCATCGGTAATCAAACCACGACTAAAAACATGTTGTAATTGTGTCAGTGGAATGAGACAAAATAAAATATAAAATAATCAGTACATATCAATCCCTGAAAGTGGTTAAGAAAGGTGATATGTTATTTAGGACATCAAATTGAAAGCCTAATAAAAGTTGGTTGTTCTAACATCAGTTTTCACAGCATACATCTTCTCCGCGAACAACCCAAACAGGGTCACTGTAGACTGTAGAGTATTAATTGTGTTCTCAAAACCCGAAATTAATATTGTAATAATATTTCTATTCCTGTGATTGTTAATAAATATTGCATTTTCATGTTCTCTCATGACATTTCTTATTCTAAAAGAATATTTCTTTTCAATATTTTCGGAAATTGAGATGGTTTAGAAACGTAACTCACATTGACTAACATAACATGCTAATTAAGAGCAATCTTGAAAGTATCAATTCATCTAATTCAAACAGTCTAATCGGTGTAAATACAACAGAAGCATCAGTGTAGAACAGTTCATAATATCAATGTCACACACAAATGTCACTTTTGTTTAAATAAGCAGGTACTGGTGTTATATTATGTGTTTAGTGATGAAATACGGTGTTCATCTGAACGTGCTGAAACATACGTTCAGTTCAATGGAGTGAAATCGGTTGAAACTGTTTGTTCAAACCACTTAACCACTCAACAATCAACAATGTCAAATCACAATGAAAAATAAATAATCACATCTTATTATTGTTTTAAACGGATTTGTGTGCATAACACTTCTACCAGATTCACAGTGAAACATATAGGAAACACGAGGAGGTAGTGTAAGTGTAACCATGGGAATTCTACAACAGTCATAGTGTCGTTCTGTTACAGTAATCAGTCTCATTAGGTTATACATTTCAAATATATTTAGGTACCGTTTAAGTGTTATCTGTTTCTGTACATTATATAAAGTCGACATGTAATCAACTGTAGACTGAACAATCACTGGCCGTAAATCAATTGAGTGTGTATTCATTTCTGACATAATTATATTGGTACAGAAAAGTAAATATCAGTTTGGTAAAATATTTTTCAAAATTTGCAGATCAAACTGTATTTCACTTTAAATATGCGCACATCCTCCAGTAATAATTCAGTAAAATGAATACACCTCAGGCTCTCCACAGTCGCGGTAGAATTAGGAGGGTTTTAATATTTTATAATATGTAGATCTCGAATCGACATGACGATTATGGATTGATGTTCAACCGCTGGACATGTGGTTTTCATAAGCATCAAGCAAATACAGGAGATTCATAGGTCAATAGAATTGTATTCTTACAGCTGTATGCACGGGCAATTTCAGACGCGAACTAACCAATGACAAACGTCAAGACAGTACACGACATGTGCAGTGACACCTCGCGAGTCCGGATTGCCGGGGAACATCTATACATCACAAGGGAAGTTTGGAAATCCGGAACTTGACCGGCGCCTGAATAACAGGGTTCACACCAAATATTTATACAGAACAACTTTTAAGTAAGGCGGAATGAGTTCTGTACTGTAACGGAAATGTAGATAAAGACAGCGGAGGCCATGCTTGATATTGCTTCTATATGAGTCTTGAAGAAGCAGTTACAGGAAACCTTAAGACATCACTGAGGTCATAGTATTCTGGAAAACGTTATCTCGGGTACGGCTCACAAATTGTCATACCTTCTTTATACTTTCTAACAGTTTTACCACTTACATACTATGCAGAGTCATCGAAAGCATCATTTCATAAATTGTTTTAAGATCCGTGCCTGTTTCCATCTTATCACGAAAATGTTAATATTTTGACTTTCGACTACCCATTCAAACAGTAAGATGGAAAGATGGAATAACATCGATAAACGACATTGACCTACAGTTATAGGTGATAAATACCAATATTTATTTCTATGGGACTATTTTTGACGACATAAGGAATCATACTTATCTGCATATTTTAAAAACAAAATGCATTAATCTCATGGAATAAGTGTATGTGAAACAGGCGTCATCAAAAGCAAATTTCCTCATCAGTTGACCTCAACATTCTGTGTGGTTATGTTATATTAGTAACACGGAACTGTTGCAGCATCAGTAAACAATGAATACACTGGAGTCGCATCATTCTTCTGTCGGCGCTGTATTGTAATTGAATGTGTGAGTTGTTGTGAGTAAATTGAAGCTTCATCATGGTCGGAAGGATACTGCCTGCAAATACAGAGTGAGTGAGTATCGTTTTACGCCGCTTCAGGAATAGGCCAGAATTATTACGGCGGCCGGGGGACACCAGAAATGGGCTTCACAACCAATTCAGATGTAGTCGCGTCACCATGTGTTGTTACGCAAGATGTATGATCAGTTTGGTTAATAAAGATGGATATGGTACACAAATATTATTATTTGCATAAACATGTTTATGAACATAACAGTATATTGCATAAATGTCAGTTCATATTCCTTCACATCCAACTTTCTTTTTACTTATACATGTAGTGTAAGGCATGATAAGGAATCGATATATATATATATATATATATATATATATATATATATATATATATATATATATATATATATATATTTCATATACTATTCATCACAACAACTTTCTGTCACCAAGTATTCGCATGGAATATATTGTGACATATATTGTAAGGTGTTTGCATGGGATACATCGTGACACTGTTCAAACTATATATGTTGTAACACCGATGTTTTTGCATGGGATATGTTGTAACAACAGTTGTTTGCATGGGATTCATCGTGACATAAGTTGTCGCATTGAATATGCTATAACGGCAGTTTTTTTTTATTGGAAAACATCATGACAACGGGTATTCGCATGAGATACATTTTAACACCAGGTGTTCGCATGGGGTACATCGTGACACAGGGGGCTGTCATAACATCCTTACTTACAGCCTAATACCAGGCTCTGAAGACGACTAAAGATACCACAAAGCAATAATTTCTTTCTGCAAACGGACAGCAGATTAGGTTTGAGGACATTCGAGTACATATGGTAGCGGAGATTAGTGGCTATAAATATTTCATAAACACGTGTGACGCACTCACATGCATGTTTATATGATATTTGTACGCGCTAAATGGCAATATCAACATACTTCTGGTTGATATGGTTGGTAACTGACACAATTGTGCCAATATACTTTATAAGGGGGCGTCATGTACCACACAGTGACATTTCGGGATTTTCAAATCCCATTCTTTGTGTTCGCTAAAACCATTTAACGCACGCATAAATGTTACCACTTTTATTTGCCTAATGCATCTTTCCATAAACATGTAACTGCATGCAGATAGGATGATACTTCATAACACAATATGTACTTGCCTAGAGTGAGAAGTGTCAGGCAGGTAATCCCTTGTACCAACATCCGGGGCATCACCAGCGTTGTAGCATCAGCGTCGTCGCACTTGCCCCTCTCGACTACACTGCCGAGCAGCTACACGGTGTTGATCCACACCGCTCGTGTCCAGGGCGGGTCTATTATTGGATGAAACCGACAGGCAATGTAGAGGTATTGTTGATCACCGCTGTTGGTGGGCAAGGTTATTATTTGGCAAGGTTGTTTGGAATTACTATTGATTATCTGATGCTGGAAGTGAGATTGATATTTGTATGATGATATTGTGAACTGTCATCATTCCACCTTGATTGTGTCAGCAAGAACGAGCATCATCATTCATATTCTCGTAGTTGATGGGTACATATCTTGTTCAGGGATGATATTGCAATGCATACATACAACTGAACTATTCAAATGTATATCATTCCACATAAAACCTCCCTTGGTAATATCAATTGACAAATGAATACTTAAAATGAAATCATACTATAACATTGTACACACACACGCGCGTACATCTCCCCCCCCCCCACACACACACACACACACACGCACACACTAACACACACACACACACACACACACACACACACACACACACACACACACACACACACACACACACACACACACACACACACACACACACACACACACACACACACTAACACTAACACTAACACACTAACACACTAACACACACACACACACACTAACACACACAAACACACACAAACACGCACGCACGCACACAAAACGTATACACTTATTGAAGCAGCTACACCAGGGAGAGGTCGCCTTCTCTATAGTACACATTGTAATATTTCCCTTTATGGTATAAGATCGTCATGCTGAAGGGAGCAAGTTGATGTTATCACTTGTACGACGTGGTGGAGGTTTGTGGGCTGTGTGTTATATGTTGGTCCTATTGCGTATCTCAAATGCATACTAACAAGAAAAATTACGTTATAGCGAATAACACTTCCTATGACTGCAATATGGGTATCTGTAACTGTTCTTCAGATAAATATCAATCACCATAGTCACATGGTTGACCAATGTGTCAAGAACGTCTGTTCTTGTCATCCAGTATATCAATCATTCCAAAACAGCTGGCTAAGAATAGAGAGAACGCTGATGTTCCGGTGATTGATGGCTTTGGCTTAATGATGCTTTGACAAGGGGCATGCCATGGTGAGTTTAAGAATGCTTCCCAACTGCATTCACTATAGAAACCTTAGGTCAGGCGAACGTGCCTAAAAAAATAAAATATAGCCTTCTATCTTTAAAGTGCTGTATTTAACTGTAAAAATCCATTTATATGTTGTTCAATCATATGACTGACAATAGTAATAATGATGATGACAATATTTGTTTTGGAATAGGCCTGTATACAGCCTCAGACCTATCCAGGCCAACAAACCTGATCTTGTCCTTTTTATAAATACAATGAAATCATTTATATCATTGAATTTTCTGTCCCTTTTGACACTAATGTGATTGGCAAGATTCAGGAAAAACATGGCCAATATGCTGACCTCGTTTTCGAAATGTCTCGCTTGCATCCCAAGTACCAAGTTGTCTGACTCCCAATTGTTCTCTGTTGACTGACATTGGGAGAGTGCCCGGGTTTGCTGCCAGGAATACAGGCCTTCTGGAAAAAGTTCTGGGTGGGTTTGACTAGGCAGCGCTTCCTGGGAGAAGTCACATTCACTGTCTGGGCTGCGTGTAGACGGGGCAAGGGCCCTGAGTTGATGATGAGCCAAACTAGCCTGACTGCCAGGATCACCATAACCCTCTTTGCTGGATTATTTTCTATTTCAATCGGAAAATAATAACAACAACAACAACAACAACAACAACAATAATAATAATAATTTTAATTTTTTTTAAATAATGATAAAAAAATACGAGTTTTGGGAAATGAGAAATAGCAACTGTGATTTTCAACCATGTAAAGTTTATCCTCACTGCTCGGGGGATTTCGAAACATATGGTTGTTCGAGACAGCTGTGCTGAAATGAAACACGCCAAACTTTGTGTGATGCAGATAAACAGTGTCAGAGTGTCACATGATACATCACGAATAATCGACATCGCAGAACACCTTGCCCTGATTACTGATTATGTACACAAAACGTGCCTGTGATAAGCAATTAAATCTACCGTCATGCATTCACAGAACGGTTATGTGGTCGCCATTATTTCTTGATCAGAGACCTTCGCGTACTGGGTAATTAACGCGTGATTAGATTTATCAGATCTAGATTAGATTAAACCCTGACTGAAAATGATTATATCCCCTTTAGCGTGATAACGATGTATCAGTTTACCTGCCATGTTACTTACTGAAACACGTTCATTATAAGGTGGTGTATCTCAAGTTTATATTTCAAAACTGACTTTCACTTTGTGTCAGTTCATTAGAGTAGGAACCGTCATAGAATGTGGGCCAAACTTCATTTTATACTTCGGCGGCTGTAGATCTAGACACCATTCCACGTAGTGTGTGTGTCCTCCTGTTTACACGGACAGTCGCCCAACAACCAGCTCTATCGCGGAATAAAGTAGTTCCTTAAAAGGAGAGGTGACACGTGACGCGCATATATGCTCAGATTGTTCAAGAGTAACATTGTTTGTACTTTAGTTGTAACAAATAGATACACATTATATCATCTTTACATGAGAAAGACCTGACAAGAACTATCTCACTAGTCACTATCACAGTCACAGCGACGAATTACATTTACACCAACTACTGGACGTCAAAACACGATGGACGTGACGGGGAGATTTCCGAAGTTGTTAATGTTGAAAAATTAGTATTCATATAGATACTGAAGCAGATGCATAGTTTGCTGTAGACCGTCACTGTCACTTCCGACACAGAACAAGTTGATAAATAATACGATAGTTTGAATGTGAATTTCTTCGTTTTGTTCAATAGGATGCGTCGTAGCGAGAATATTCGTGAACGGGCATGCAGTTAAACTCTCTGACCTTTCCCAATGTATGCCTAAATGGCTGAGTTCAAGATTAAAGGGTCTAAATGAAACAATTCTTCTATATTTTGTCGTATTAGGGAATTCCTTGGGGCTGTCCATGAGTGTTTAAGTCATTTTAAGAATACAGCCTCCCGAAAAACGCATGAACGTCTAAATGTGCCCTTCATATGCTAGTGAAATTTAGATTCGTGACCGACCTCTCGTCCAATGAAAAAGCCGTATGTCATTAAACAATTGTACTTTATTTGTTCCTGTAAACTTCAGTTCATAATTAGTAACCGACCATTACTTTGAAGGCAATGATCCACCACAGATTAAACTGGACATTTGCCCCAGTGTCTGTGTAACCCATACGTGTCTGTGTACCCTATACTTCTCTGTGTCACCTATACTTGTTTGCGTAACCCATACTTGTCTGTCTAATCCATACTTGTCTGTGTAACCTATACGTGTCTATTTAACCCATCCTTGCCTGTGTACCCCATACGTGTCTGTGTAACCTATACTTCTCAAACATATGTGTCTGTGTCACCTACACTTGTCTGTGTAACCCATACGTGTCTGTGTCACCTATACTTGTCTGTGTAACCTATACGTGTCTGTGTACCCTTTACATGTCTGTCTAACCTATACGTGTCTGTGTAATCCACACGTGTCTGTGTGCCCTATACTTGTCTGTGTAACCCACACGTGTCTGTGTGCCCTATACTTGTTTATCTAACCCATACGTCTCTGTCTTACCCATACGTGTCTGTGTAACCTATACGTGTCTGTCTAACCCATACGTGTCTGTGTAACCCATACGTGTCTGTGTACCCTATACATGTCTGTCTAACCCATGCGTGTCTGTGTAATCCACACGTGTCTGTGTGCCCTATACTTGTCTGTGTAACCCACACGTGTCTGTGTGCCCTATACTTGTTTGTCTAACCCATACATGTGTAACCTATACTTGTCTGTGTAACCCATACTTGTCTGTGTGTCCTATACTTGTCTGTGTAACCCACACGTGTCTGTGTGCCCTATACGTGTCTGTGTAACCCGCACGTGTCTGTGTGTCTGTATAATTCTTGAAAATTAGGAAGAAGAAATGTCAGTTATGGTAACTTGGACGAATACTTAATTGAGATGGATGCAGTTCCGGTTATAGACTAACATTTAGTCTCTGAAATCTTATATTACACAATATCCTTCTTGACTCTAAAAATAAAAAAAATCCCTATGCTGACTTCAGATGTGGAATAGAGCTAGCTTGAGCTGGCTAGACTTGCTTTTGTATGCATTTTTAGATTATTATTTTTTCATAAAAAAAAATATATTCCACGGTCATGGTGCAGGACTATTCCGGTTACTACACATAATTTTACCGGTGAACACATGTTTGAAAAAAATAAATTTATTGAAAGGAATCTTTGTACATTCTGTAAGGCAGATCCTGAATCTATTGTCCATCTTTTCTTGGAATATAGAGAAGTTGAATGTTTTGGCAATTTAGTCTTGTTTGTGGGTTCTACTTTTCAATTTGATGAAACTTTTGACTTGACACTCTTGTATGTCAAGTTTCATATGCAGAAGTGTAAAATTCCTGACAAGTTTCCTGATATAATTCATTTAAAAAAACAACTTTTGACTTATTATGAAATTGAAACGAAAAGGTACTATAACAAAACTAAATATTGGGAATTTCATAGTAAGTTTATTTATTTATTTATTTATTTATTTATTTATTTATTTATTTATTTATTTATTTATTTATTTATTTATTTATTTATTTATTTATTTATTTATTTATTTATTTATGTGTGAGCGAATGGACTATATATATTATTATATATATAACAAAACAACAGATTTCAGATTTCTATAGCTATATACCCTGTGGCGCTCGCGGTACCACGAACGGAATCCCTTGAATTCTGTGTTTGGCGTCCCTGGGCTATCTGCTATTGAAATGCGGCGTTCCCGGACCATAACCTGCCGGACAGCGACCACAGCTGGCGATGTTTGTTTGCCATGCCCCCGGCACCCAACAAGGAGCGGGTACCATCGGATCACAGCGTTAAGCTAATGGTGGTACACAATCTGGTTGTAAAAAGTGTTCATTGTATGTCTGG